TAATTTTATTTTCCGTATTAGGTGTTCACAATTGTATATTCAGTACAGAAGGTTCCCATACCATATTGTAAATTTATACCTAGATATGGTGCATCTGTGATATTAATTTAAGATTGTTTGTATAGACTATTGTTTACAATCCTCTCGAAAAATTTTCACTCATATGGAGACGCTACCACGTGCCGGTGGAGAGGGACCTTTTTTCGTGCCAGCAGTGCACCTACTGCGACATGGGACCCCCGTTAATAGGTCTCACCGGAAGGACCGGTCTCCACGTCCCACTTTGTATTAATTAAAGTAACTCTTATTAGGTAAATATCCGACCATAGAAATCACACAATTTTTAAAACCAATGTTGAAAGATTGAGTAAGATGATTGTTTACCATGGTTTACCATGTCTGTGCAGTGTTAAAAATAAATTTGAAATCCGGATCGGTTTTTTCCGTAATACGTTGCCAGTGTCATAAGAACATGCAGTCTATATTGACCGGGCAATAGATCGCAGTCTATTGACCGGTCAATAGATCGCCAGTCAATAGATCGGTTTGAAAAGATAAGAAAAGGTGAAAACACATACAGAATAGACGAAAATATTACATTTATAATAAAACACCAAAAATTCATTGGATTAGGTAATCAAAGGTTCTCATCAATACCCTAGGGCGGAGGATGGGTTAACCATCCATTGCTAACAGCAAGGTCTTCCTCGTACACAACTTTGAAGAACAAGTCTTGTTGGGTAATGTTCTTGTGAAGTAATGATTCGGTACATTGATTATTTATAACTAAAAAATATATCCAATTACAAATTATCGAATATTTATTTAAATTGTCAACACATTTTCAGTTATTAATTGTTTTGAAAAATAAGTAGTTCTGCAACGCATTGAATTTGAATTTTATAGTTACCAGAGGAATTAAAAGCTGATAACTGCTTTTAATGTTATTCTGAACAAATAGGCTTTGAAATTTGAAATTTAAAAAACATTATCCTTAAGTGCATGATGCAAAACAGAGAAAAAAATCTATGAAAAAATAAATATTCAATGGAAATATATACATATACAATCATCGTTGGATCTCGTTCCGCTTATTTAAACTGGAGCAGCCGGAGAAATTGTAACTCAGTTGCTTCAAAATGACGTCATCCGGGATCTCTTCATGCTGATACCGAAAAACAACATGATAACGGAACGTCCACAGGGTTTGTCGTATTGAACCTAGAGAAGGGTGATACTGTAAAATATCAAGTACCTGGAACGGTCAAGGGTCTACTTATAGCAACAGTTTGGAAGATGGTCCTTCTCTGCTTTTATTAAATTTAACTTTGATCAATGAAAGACGCATAAACATGTACACTTGTCTTTTAATACTGATTTCTGAAATAAAATGGGTGGCGACGAAACAATTTGTCAATTTTTTTCAATTTTTCGAATTCCACATACTAGAGCAGAAATCTACAAACAATAACTCTCGTTTCCTGTCTACATTTTGTACCAATTTAATTCAATATCAATAGCAATTCGGCCATAAATCTTCGTTTAATACAAAGAACAGTTCAATGTGAAGTTTTTAATTATTATGATACCAGCGTTAAATAATATATTATCCCGAAGGTTTGCCCTTGAAAAAAGGGAGCAATATTTTCCATTGAAGTTTTCAAGAGTTCCAAGAATCGCAATATTTTGAAATAGTCTTGGATATGATTAAATGTTCCTAATATCTTTTCATGTCTTCCGCAACTACTTCAATATTCTTTAAAATCATACAAATATGGATGGGAATTTTTTAAAAGAGATTTTTCAACACTTTTAAGTATACAAAATTTTGGATAACTTAAAATTTGAATGAATGTGATCGATTGTGAAACAAGGAATTTTGAGAGCTATCTCCACAGTCACAAGTGTACATGGCGTAAAATTATTTTATTCGAATAATTTAACCCCTTACATGGTATATACGCATTTCTACACATCTGACTTGAAAACGTATATTATTATACGGTAATGTGTTTACCTAACTCGTCTTATCAATTGTTATTACAGAAGTCTTTACATGTGGCGTCATTGGTAAGACTATAATGGCAATGTCCATGTTTTGCTATGGGAAACCTAAAATACGTGTCGAATAAAAAAGTAAAAATTGAGGTGCACAATGGCAATATGTTATTAAGATTCTGTAAAAGTTTCATTACATTTCACTCAGTTGTATAAGAGGAGCTGCGGATAAGAAATGAGTAACCCAAAGCTTAACAGACGCACGGACGGACGTGCAGCTAGACGGACGGACATACCGATTACTATAATATACCCTCCCAGTAACAAAAAATCCCAGTATCATTATGGTGTATTTCGTTGCCATGGAAACCTAATTGATATTTTATAATCATTTTCAGAAACTACACAATATCTGTTTCAGAATATTTATACATTGGTATATACAAAATTACAAGAAAAACTGAAAAAATACATCGAAATCTTAATATTACTTTGTCTAGAAATGCTGAAAATCTTTGCCATGGAAGGGGTGAAGAGGAACTGTCATCATAAAAATTATGCAGTACATACAATTCTTTTATCTTTCGACTATAATTCTGAAACAGCTTGTATACAATATTACAATTCGTTATTTTAGTATGCGTAGGAAAATCTTTTTAACTTTTCTTTTGTTTAATCTGTTATATTTTATAAATTAAAATCGATTTTTATAGGCTTTACACGGGTTTAGACAAATTATACACATAGAATCAAGAAAGATTTTTGATATATTTGTAATTTATTGATAAGAAAAAAAACATGTACTGTTAGAGCTATCGATTCGAAACAAAGAAAAAATATTACTTATGAATTAATTAATTAAAGTTTAATGTCTGAAAGTAAGGGAAAACTCTCTTTATCTAGGCACCTGATCCCACCTCTAAAATTTCCATGGGTATGGTACACGTGTCTTATATACCATACTCACACATCTATATTCTTTATCGATTTTTTAGATCGGTCCTTGTTCGTAATCTTCAATGAATACATTTTTTTTCTATTTAGCGTGGCAGGTGTGTTATCCTTGAAGTCGCAAAATATAATATAATGTTGACTTTTGACGAAATGCATTTAACACAAAGTTGTATATATTTATTTATTTTGTTATTGTTGTTAGTATATTGATAGGATATATTAGAATAAAATGTTAGAAGTGTTACCCAGTCTTGAGAAAATCCTGTGTACTGTAGTTCAACTTAATTTTCTCATTGTGTGCAATTGTAAATTGAACAAAAACTCTTTGGAACAGATGCTATCCTCATAATGTATCAAGTGACAATGAATATATAGAAAACAACTTTTTAGTGTTAATTTTTCAATTATCACTGCTTACTAATCGACTTGAAGGTTACATAAGTACTTCTGTTTGCTGTCCTTCCCATTTTCTTTGTTCCTGTTGCTGAAGCTAACATCTGTTAGTCATATTCAGAGGGTGTCTGCGGAAGAAATGAATGCAGAAAAGGTACGTTTAATTTTTTCTCGTTGGTTCTTATGTCTAATTGTGACAAAATAAGCTTGTTGAATGGTCGTAAGAAAAAAAACGTTTTTGTTTTTCATTTTCCTTTCAAAATGGAAGTTAAGATTATGGATGTTTTTATTGTGGATTATATTCACACAACTATAAGCCGATGAACCTTTTTTTTCCTATAGTAATAAAGCGTCATAAACGAAATTTAATTATCAAACTGAATTCTGAAGGCAACTATCATTTACTAGATGTTGATCTGAAATCAAAAATGCTTAATTTCTTCATATTAGGACAATAAATTTACCATTGATGAAAACCTTGCTATGTAATTCTTTGGGGGGGGGGGGGGGGGGCAGACAAGAAATACATATCTTGAATCAATTTTCTTCATGCTCAACCACTATTGATATAATTATTTCAATAGTGGTCGTTATTTCAATAGTGGTTGCAACAATGCTGTACATATTTGATTTTAAACATGCTGAATTATTCAGAAAAACTGTGTCCCGTTTAAGGAAAAAAATAGCATACATAAATCTAGAGGGATCAGTGACAGATCTTGAGGACCACCTCCTTTCTCTGCGACTCTAAAGCAAACGCTGTCGACTAGACAATATACAAACTAAAGAAAGTGAATGGACAATGAATGTGGTTTTTACAATTTTAAATAATAATTAAAGTTAACATTAACCTCGGTTTGGAGCTCGTCGACAGCTCTCTCTCTCTCTCTCTCTCTCTCTCTCTCTCTCTCTCTCTCTCTCTCTCTCTCTCTCTCTCTCCAGAATGGAGGCATTTATACATTTAGCCGTGATTTAATTGGGACAAGGGACTAGTAAATGATGACTAATAAATAAATTTAATGACTTTTGTGTAATTAATTCTACTATGAACTACTTCTCTTGATCAGAAACATCGAGAGATGGCTAAACAGAAACAACATTTAATAGATGAAGGTTTGCCTTTAACGTAAGGGGAATCTTTCTTCGTCCATTCAGGTATTCATGATCCCACCTCTGGTATTTCCTATAGGACCTTTCCATTGTTTTGTTCATTGATTTTTTGCGATGGTCCCTGTTCGTCATCTTTAATTTGTCTTTTCAACTTTTTTTCATCTGTTCATTTTACTCTAAAAGACGCCCATTGTGTAATCCTTGAACTCGAAAGTAAAGATTTTTTATTGCTGACGATGTTTCTTCTGAAAAAAATGATAAGCTATCGTTTTTGTTTGATATAAAGGATATTATGATGATTATAATAATATACATGTGTAACTCTGTTTCTATAAATCCCATGTACTTTAGTTGTTTAATTGAATTGTTTTATTGCGAGCAATTGTAAACTGAACAAAAATCCTTTGGAACAGATGCTCTTCTCATTAAATATCAAGCGAAAAGTATATATAAGAAACCATTTTTGTCTTTTTCGTATATCACCGCTTATAAATCGACATGAGAGTAAGCCCAATTTTACTAATTACTGTTCTACCCATTTTATTCAATTTGTTCGTTCCTCTTTCTGTAGCCAACAGCTGTAAGTCATATTCAGAAGGTATCTGTGGAAGAAATGATTGTAGAACAGGTAAGTTTGATATTTTTACTCGTTGGCCATTGTGTTTAATCATCATGTTAGTATTAACAGAATGTTGAATGATTGCAAGAAAAAGGCGAGATTTCCTTCATTTTTCGTGGAAAATGATAGTTTAATTATTTGGGGTTTTCTATGATTACTCTACCTCAAACTTATGCCCCGATACACACTGAATTTACTTAGCTGTAGTACCATTTAGTAATAAAGCATAACATAATATAACAGGAAAACTTTTATCAAATTGAAATCACTAGGCACCTTTCATTTAGTTATTGCTCTTAAAGGAATAGGTATATCTATGAAAAATAGCATCAAAATGGTTTAAGGCCAAGATCTAATAAATAATTTTAGACTAACTACGAGGGCCGTTCAAAAATTACGCGGACTATGCTATTATTTACTCTTACAGACGTCATATAGTTATAAAATTTCACAGAAATATGTATCTTAAAGATTCCAATAAATTTTGGGCAAAATTTCTGTATTTTAAAAAAATTCTACTAAAATTATGGGTATGTTGATATCGTTGATGGAGAGTACGGCGCACGACAAAAAAAATGAAGCAAAAGCATGCGGATTCAAAAATTTAACTCATTGATTTTCTAAAATTCGCGATATTTTTCAACAATTTTCTCAAATGTACCTTTAAATTGTTCTATTATAATGTATTTAGATTTCGGACGTAATATTTGAAGAACTAACAGAAATACAGTGATTTTTCTCTGATGCGATTCCCGTGAAAACGACTGTGAAAATGACGTCTCCTGAATTGACGGCGCACCACACTTTTGTTAAAATATGTGTACTGCTCGAGATATCGCCAACATAGATCCAAAATATGCATAATAAAACTTGCAGTAAACTAGGCTACTTGTGACATTCGCCCACAAATGGCAAATTGAAATTTTAGACAGTTAGACCTCTGTAAAAAGGCTATACGGGAGGACGGGATGAAGATAATAGACGAAAAGTTAACTTTATCCGGACTGTAAAGAACGTGATTGAGAGTCACCAATATCACACTATATCTCATAAGTAGTTTTTGGTTTAAAAAAAAAAAAGAATATTCTTTACGTGTTTAATAGATTTTAAGCTTGACAAGAAATGGTGTTTTGATGTTGAGTAGATAAGGTAACTCAAACTATACAGGTACTCAAGGGAAAATGTTGAGAAAATGAAAGCTCAATCACATATTTTTCATAATGCTTGTGATGTCGAAGATTTTGCTGCGCCGTGACTTAATGGTATGTCCTGAAAAATCACTCAAAATTAATACAAATTTACAACATTTTGATATGAAATTTTGAAGACCATATAAGTAAAGATTCTTTTATATTATTTGTGAAATTTTACCCGATTATGTCGTCAAATATTTCTTCTGTGCAACAAGTCCGCGTAATTTTTGAACGGCCCTCGTATATGGTGCTAGTTCCATTAAGACATCATAATCACTTTAACTTTCCTTTCTTTGTACTTGACGGCTCTAATTGAGTTTTGTAGAAAATAAAAGGTATTTTCATGAATTTTAAAATGAAATAATATGAAAAGTAATTCCGATACCTATATCAAATATGATATCATTTTAAAGAAGAGACCAAAAACATGTATATAAAAAGTAACATTTTTGGAGAAACTGTTTAGGCAATCTGGATAGATTTCCTTTGTCTCATCTTGAAAAAGTCCATATTCATAGCTGGTTTTCAATAATTTATTTCTCAAATTTAATAAACCTGTAGGCACCTTTCATTTCATAGATCTTGACCTTAACGAGAAGAAAATACACACCAAAACAGATTACATGAATTGAGGTGCTGTAACTTGGTCAAACCATAGATGTGTGAGCATTTCTATGAATGTTTGATTGACTTTTTTATATGTTCCCTCAGAGCAAGAGAAGACCACTGTTGCTTTTTACTCACTCGTCTCGAAGAACTTTGCGCTCCCGCCTGCTGGCAGGACGTTTGTCTATGACGCAGTTGTAACAAATCATGGAAATGGATACAGCAAGAAATCGGGGATTTTCACTGCCCCGAAGTCTGGGGTATATGTATTTACCTGGACGCTTGTGGCTGCCGGGCAACATGTTTCGGGAACCAAGGGTCACTTTGGGGAGATAGCAACTCATATACTACAGAATGATGTTATAAGGGGTACTCTTCATGCTGATACTGAAAAACAGGGGGATGACGGAACATCGACAGGATTTGTTATATTGAATCTGGAAAAGGACGACGCCGTTAAAATATCAAGTGCCTGGAACGGACAAGGGTCTGCTTATATCAATGAGCAGTTTGGAAGATGGTCATTCTCTGGTTTTAAAATAGCTTAGTACTGTAGCTTTTCTGAACAAAAAGTTATACAATAAAACTAAGATGAATCTAAATTTGAATTACCGAGTTTTATTAGTAATGTTTTGAAATTTAATAACTGATTGCCAATTAAAAGAAATACAAATCATTGTGTTTTTCGAGTTCCATGCAAAAAGTACTTAATAATTGAGTGACATTACAAAAAAGTACATGTATTAATTACCGGTATTTTTTAAGGTCAAGATCTAGTAAATGTCTTTAAACTATATTTTTGGTGCTACATGTAGATCCATTATGGCGTCATAATCACTTTCAACTTTCTTTTTCCCTACTTTAAGGCTCTAAATTATGTAGAAAATTAAGTATTTTCAGGGACTTCAATTTGAAATTACACGAAAAGTACTAGTAGTCCCGATACATGTACCTATATTAAAATTGACATGACTAGTATTCCAAAGAAGAGGCCAAGAACATACAAATAACCGTTTTCTGAGATAATGTAGGCTATCTGGATACATTCGCTTTGTCTGATATTGGAAAAAGTCCCATATTCATGACTGGATTTCTTAACTTTTCATTGAAAACGACAGTTTTTTAATATGATTTTTCATTTTGTTTACTTACTAATTATGCCCCGAAACACTTATTGTACCCTTATTAGACCAAGCTAAACTTACAAAAGTGTCATTTAAGGAATTTATTCCTCAAATTTGAGAAATCTGTAGGCACCTTTCATTTACTAGATCTTGGCCTTAATTCGTATACTAGAGCGAATTTAATATGTAGTCCTATTCAAAAAAGTGTACAGGGTTTTAACGTAAGAATAACTAATGGAAAAAAGAACTACTATATTCGTGAAAAAATAATATGGTGTTCAGATTGAACTTAAAGCTGAACACGGCTCGTAAATAGGCATACGCCATTTTCGATTTCATTAACTACGATACATCAACACCTGGGTATACTCTTCAGATTCGTCCCACCTGACTGCTTTATTGTCACAGGTAACGGTGTGGAATGGGACCCGTGTTCCTGCTGGTTATCTAGCATTACCTTTGTTTACATTTTATTGCAGTTACGTGTATCATTATTTGTTTGTATAATACACTGACCTGTACAACTATAATTGTAAGTTTCTTTGGTATCTTACTTTCCCGTATTAGACGAAGTATTTTAATAAGTTTTTATTGTCGCTACTGAGTGTTGTATAGCATACATACGTCTACACCGGTGTCGACTGTTTACGCTGAACAGTGACAAAGTCCTGCCTTTTATATAGGGGTCTACATGTATAACGTTTCTCCGAACAAAATGGCGAACACATTCCTTTTACGAATCGTGTTCAGCGTTAATACTTACTACGCACCTTGCCTAGCAAAGACATCAATATACTTTAAAAACATACAAAAGTAGATGATAATTTTTTTAAAAGGAATTTTCAATATCTGTAAGTGAGATGAATTTTATGGATGACTTTATCGAATGCAATCGATTGTGAAACAAGGAATTTTGAATTCTGCCGTCACAAGCACAAGTATGACGTAAAATTAGGTCATACGAATAGTAGAAGGAAGATCTAAGAGAAACTATTACTAGTATTTTAAACAATTTGCTATATATATTAATTTTTCGACAATAATACTTAAACAGAATACAATGTTATCGTGATATTCGTACAAAAACGCTTTTTGACTGTTTTTATCTTTTATATTTCTAAACTTAAAATCCATTTTAAGATACTTTAGACAAGGCTAGAGCTATTTACGTATAGGATCAAAAAAGAATCTTGTTACAAGGGATGAAATCATTAGCTTTCTCTTACAAGGAAATTCAATCGTAAGATTTTTTGTGAAAAGGACAACTGGACGGAAAGTCATCACCGTTATATCACTAAATTTCCTCAAGCATAAGAAAGTTCAATAAAATTCCCTTACTACATGTATATTGTAGAATCTTACGATAAATTTCTATACTGGTACAAGATGTACATAATTAGGGAGAGGGCTAAAATAGGCTTTGCCTGCTGCCCTATCCCATTCACTTATGTGAATAAAATTTTGTATAAATAAAAGAAAATAATAGGATGTACATAATATCCCGGTATAGAATGTATATATCTCTAATGACTTATTTATGATTTATTGATCAGAAAAAAACATGTACTATCAGAGACATCGAAAAAGAGAAAAAATATTAGTAAGAAAAAGGTTTAATGTCTGGACAAAGAGGAAGCTTTCTTTTCCTAGGCACCTGATCTCACCTCTTGAATGTCCATGGATCTCTTATGCCCTGCTCACAGATTGTCATTCTTTATCGATTTATTTTAGATCAGTCCCAATCTAATTAAAATCAGTCTTCTTAGATCCGCGCCGTATACACTCTGCGCAAAGTATATACGGCGCGGATCTAAGAAGTCTGATTTTAATTAGATTGGATAAGTCCTTGTTCGTTATCTACATATTTTGTCATATTTTTTTTCTATAAAGCGCCAAATGTGTAATCCTGAATCGAAAAGAATATATAACACACAGTTGTATAAATTTATCCATTTTGTTATTGTTGTTACTATTAAATCTATAGGATATATTAGAATATTAGCAATATAACTCATTTTTTAAAAACAAATCCTGTGTATTGTAGTGCAATTTAATTGTTTTATTCCGTGTACATGTAATTGAACAAAAATTCATTGGAACAGATGCTCTCCTCATAAAGATATCAACTGACGATGTATATATTGGGAACAACTGTTTGGTGTTCTTTTTTCCATTATCACTACTTACAAATCGATATGAAGGTTACACAAGTACTGAGAACTTCTGTTTGCTGTTTTACCCATTGTGCTTGTCCCTTTTGCTGAAGCTAACAGCTGTAATTCATATTCAGAGCGTGGTATTGGAAGAAATTATTGCAAAACAGGTTAGTTTAATTGTTTGTTTGTTTGTTTGTTTGTTTTTTATGTTCCCCAAACGAAGTTGGGGAACATATTGTTTTTACTCTGTTTCTTATTATTATTATTAAGGTCTTCCGTCTTCAGCGGAAGACCTTATTGTTTTTCTTAGGTTTCTTTTCCACTATTTTTAGGGTCTTCCGTCTCAAACGGAAGACCCTTCTATTATTCTATTGTTTCTTCTTCACTTTTATTCTTTTTTTTTTCTTTACAATTTTTTTGCAGAAAATTTCTCGAAGATGGCTCGATCGATTTTGTTCAAATTTTCAGAGATTATGTGCTTCTATCTGAAGTTTGTACACCGGATTTAATTTTGAAAAAATCACTTCCGGTCGGAAGTTATGCCCCTTTCAGTGATTTTTAGAGGGTCTCCTTGTCCATGAGTAAACTCAAAAACGACATAAGCTAGAGAGCTGAAATTTTCAGCAATCAAAGACGACACATTGCTGAGTTGCACATTCGATTTAAATTTTTTCAGAAAGGTCCAATATGGAAACGCGGTAGGGGTCGAAATCTAGGACACGAATCATGAGTGAATTTTCGAGACATTTTGCATCATATCTTTTAAAGTATAATTATTTTGTAAAGATATACTGAACAATATTTGTGGGGAATGACAAGATCTTCAATATGATATCAAGAAAAAAATGCTGACTCATCAAATTAAGGGCTTAAAGGGGCCAAAAAAGTTTATTCAATAACTTTATAACAGTAAATATTTTGTTATATATTACTGAAGAAAAAATGTTTATCTTAACAATCTACAACTATATATTATGATTTTTATGTCATATGACACATAATAAGGGGCCACAAGGGGCCAGAATGCTAAATCTTTGACGCTTTATATCTCGAAAGGGAGAAATATTTTGATAAGTAATAATGTACAAAAGATGTTCAGAATCATGTTCTGAACAATATGCAACCTTTCATTTTCCGCTAAACGTCCCCGTTAGGGAGTTGAAGGGTTGGCCCCTAAATATTTCTTTTGCTAATAACTCGAAAACGAAAAAGAATCTCTGAATAGTTGTTGAACAAAAAGTGTTCAAAATCATTATAGCTTTAAGACTAGATCAAGAAAAAGGGGCTGGGCACTCCAATTAGGGGCCAAGAGGGGCCAAAAGTCTTTAATCAATAACTCTTTATCAGTTAATACTTTGTAATACATTACTGAAGCAAAAATGTTTATCTCAACGTTTTACAACTATATGTTATGATTCTTATGTCATATGACACATACTTAGGGGCCACAAGGGGCCAGACTGCTAAATCTTTGACGCTTTATATCTCGAAAGTGAGAAATATTTTGATATGTAATATTGAACAAAAGATGTTCAAAATAATGTTCTGAACAATATGCAACCTTTCATTTTTCGCTAAACGTCCCCATTAGGGAGTTGAAGGGTTGGCCCCTAAATATGTCTTTTGCAAATAACTCGAAAACGAAAAAGAATCTCTGAAAAGTTGTTGAAGAAAAAGTGTTCAAAATCCAAGGAGATTTAAGATGAAATCCCGAAAAAGGGGCTTGGCGTTCAAATTAGGGGCCAAGAGGGGCCAGAAGTCTTCAATGGATAACTCTTTACGAGTTTATATTTTGTAATACATTACTGAAGCAAAGATGTTTATCTCAACCATTTACAACTATATGTTATGATTTTTTTATGTCGTATGGTACATAATTAGGGGCCACAAGAGGCCAGAATACTAAATCTTTGACGCTTTATATCTCGAAGGTGAGAAATATTTTAATAAGTAATATTGAACAAAAGATGTTCAAAATCATGTTTTTAACAATATGCAACCTCTCATTTTTCGCTAAGCGTCCCCATTAAGGAGTTGAAAGGTTGGCCCCTAAATATTCCTTATGCAAATAATTCGAAAACGAAAATGAATCTCTGAATAGTTGTTGAACAAAAAGTGATCAAAATCCTTAAAGCTTTAAGATGATATGATTGATTGATTGATTGTATACTGTTTAACGTCCCTCTCCAGAATATTTCACTGATATGGAGACGTCACCATTGCCGGTGAAGGGCTGCAAATTTGGTCCTTTGCTCGGCACTCAGGGCCATTGAGCAGGGAGGGATCTTTATCGTACCACACCTGCTATGAAACGGGGCCTCGGTTTATATGGTCTCATCCGAAGGACCGCCCCATTTAGTCGCCTTTTACGACAAGCAAGGGGGTACTGAGGATCT